AATTGCTAGTAAACATTCTTAAAAATAGATCTATATACCTATATATATATCTATATTTGAAAAATTGCAACATTTATATTTGTTATAACAAATAACATTTTTAAAACTATACCTTTATTTTGATCTTTAGTAGTGAAACATATTCCTTAAAATTCCTATCTACTCAATATTTGTTAGCATACCCATATAACTTAAAAACTTCAAATCTGATTATCTATTTCTACATTTTTTCCATACCCTCAATAGTTAAAACCATTAAATCTGGACTAAAACTGGTTAATAAATAAAATGAGCTTAGGTTTTTAATTTCATCCTAACAAAATAAAGGTCTAGAGTTCGTTCTCGAAATAGTTCTTAGAAAAGTACACCCCTTAATCAAATACTAAGCATTCTTATTCTTTCTTACTTTATTTTCTTAATATTTTTTCTCTCTGTAAGCCTATCCACAAAGAGTAGTCAGAAGAGCACTTGCGTTAAAATTAAAAACACTTCCTACCGCGCCGGAAACAGCAGTAAAGCGAGCCGCAATGGCAGACCAAGCTGCTGTAGTCACGCTCCCATTTACAGTTGTTTCAGCCAACCGCTCGAGGCAACTCGAAACTTCCGGCCTGGATGTTGGCCATTTTGTTTTTACAGGCGCGCCCTTGGGGACCGACGGCTTTCACGCATTTCACTCGGAACCCCTTGGAGACCAACTCTCTGAGTGACTGTAGACTGTGACCCGCTTTTGGGAAATCTCCAGGCTTAGAGGTGTGAACGATTGCCGAGAATCAGTGAGACAGGTCCCCAGGCACACAGGACAAAGGCCCATAAATATGTTAATCATTATGAATTGCAATTGAAATTGCACTGGGATAAGTCCCTGGAATCATTTCTCTTGCTTAGCATACTTTTTGGGGCTTCCGGGTAGTTATGCCATGCTAATTAACAAAACGACTTTGTGAAACTTTTGCAGTTAATGCATACTACAGACTTGGCTTCCTCAATGCGCTTTAACACAAAAAAATTGTAATTTTAATTAACCTCACTGCCATATGACGGGGGCCAAACCGCAGGGTAAAATTATGCAAAAGAGAAGAACAGTCGAAAAAAATTAAATAAATAGAGGGCAAGGGGGTGCGCGAAGGCAACGAGCACATCAGATTAAAAAGTAAACTTTTTAATAAAAATCACTTTAGCATTTCATTTGCTTTGCTCAAAATGAAGAAGCCGAAAAAAACTTTGTGGTAAAATTAAAAATACTTATTTATGCAGCAGCAAGAATAACAAAAGTGCCAGCATAAAATATAAATAAAATAATGAAAAGAAAGGAAAATAAAAGAAAAGAAAAAGGGAAAATGTTGTTTCACAGCAAATAATGAAAAGCGCTCATTGTGGTTAAAAAATAAAATGGAGGAAAGGCCAAAGAGCTGCGAATGCAGTCGAGAAAGATAATACATAGAAATTTATTTGTATAATATAAGGGGGCCAGAGCGCAAAACAAAGGCAGCAACAAATTTGCATATTTGGGGGAAACTCTTAACGAAAATTGTTCGAGGAAAATAAAAACTTTAGCCAGCCTAAACAAAGCCCAACAACACAAGGTTTCGCTCAAGATTTTGGAGGGCCAGCGAAAATTGCTTCCGCTACTTTCTTGCCTTATATATAATATTTTATTACTCCTGTTGTGCCTGGTAAATCACCACTAAAAGTGAGTTCAAGTCCAAGAAACGGATTCACTGCAAATTAAACACGAAATTGAATTCTGCTCATCATAATTTCCCCAAGGATGCTTATTAGGCAGCCAAAGAAAGCCGGCTACGGGCCCCAAAGCCCCAAAGAATACACTTCGCATTCGCCTTTGAATGTGGGAATTCTTACTCGGCGGCGTTGTCATAAGTGCAACTGAGACTGGGCTTGCTGTTATTTTCTGATTAGGCCAGGGAAGTCAGGGAAGACACATACATAATCCAAGGGGAAATTGACAAAGGGAAAACAGCGGACGGAAAACTGATCAGCTATGCATAAACTCATCTGGCAGGTTGGTAGAAATAATGGGGTGAACTCGGGGGTTACGTTATAAAAAGAAAGCACCAACAGATAAATAAATGTCAATTCCTTTTACCTGAGCTTGCAAATCATTAAAAATTAACTAAGAACCGAAAACATCAATAGCTAAATAATTAATATGCATTCTCAACTACTTGTTTAACTTTCGCTTTTCTTTAATAAATTTATCATGAGCACAACTCGTTGATTGGCCCGCTCTACAGCTGTAAATTAACTCAGCCAAGAACAAATCATCTAATAGGAAAAGGCAACAAATGGTCCAATCATGGAAAAATATTTGCCAACACGAAACATATTTAGCTCAGCTCTTAACCACATATATTTAGCCCCGAGCATGCCAAAAACCACTAGCAAACATGCAACCAACCAAGAAGAAATGTGGGGGGTTAAAGGCAAACAGAAATAAAATAGAGTGAACCAAAAAAGAAATAAAATAAAATAAAAAAAAACAGAGCGAAACAAACTCTTCGAATGAATCCATTACACTTTGAACTCTCTACCCCATTTTTGCTGGGCGCTCTTTCAAATCAATTGAATTTCGACTTTTTAGCTGGAAGCAAACTAAAACTTTAGACCAACAAAAAAGGTGGCAGGAGTACACAATGCCAAATGCCGTGGCCATGGCCAATTATCAAACAAATAGAATGGATAAGAAAATTTGCTTGCAAAAGTTTACCAAATTCTGGGCGAAATTGAGGGGTTTGTGGAGGGATAAGGTCAGGGGCCACCGCTTACTATCGAAAATCAACGAAATAACTCCCAGGAATACAACAAAGAGGAGCCAGCAGCAGTGGCCGAAAAGTTTTACCAACTCCCCACAGTATTTGCGATATATATAAAGAAACTTCGCATAGGGGTTGGGATGGTCTTACAGAAGAAATAGGAATGTGTAGATAGAGTTGGGGAATGGGGGTTCCAAACCCCAAGCCTCTAATTGAAACCTAGGCAACGACGACGAGAACTTAAACTTTTGCGTAAAATGCAATTAAAAGCAGCAGCCAAGCATCAGTTAGAGACGGATTTTTACTTAATCTTCTGCATCAGTTTGTCTGTCCCCAAAGCCCAGAGCCCCAAAACCAGAGACCTTCGAAGTAGGGGTACGAAGTTCCGCCGGCAATTGTTGTTTGCCAAGGAAACTTTGAGCCCGGCCTAATGCAAAGGCAGGCCAATTCGAAATGTTATTTACGCACAACAAATTAGAACATCCACAGGAAGGCAGGCTGGCTGGCTGGGAGAAGGCTGTAGATTTTCTCTGGCAAAAATTATAAACGAGCCGGCATATCCGCAGGGCAGGTTACATAAGTTTTGATAACCAGCAACGGTAGGATGCTGCCGAGGTTTTTTAGTTTACAGTTTGCGGCTTTCAGATAATGCAAAAGTTGTAACTAGGTGCGGCCCCGAGGCGTTGAGTTTCCTTTTAGCTGGAAAAGTTTCACTTCCAAACGATCGATAAGCAACAAAGTAAGTATGCGTCCAAATTAAGCCAACGACTGAAGCGCCTTAATTAAGGGATTAGTTTCGCCTTTTTGGAATCCTTTCCCCTTGATTTGCGGCCAGGCCGCATTTATCATTTTATTGCCAAAAAAAAGAAAGACGAGGAAAGGAAAGGAAAGGCAAGGAAAGACAGGGAAAGCAACTCACCGACCCAGTTCTGGTGGCTTTCGTTGGGAATTTCACACTTCGATACTCGCAATTGAAATAGAAATGCTGGGAAATGCTAGGAAATACTCGAAATGCTATAAAAAATCAATTAATTTTGCACTTCGCACGCACACGAGCGCATAGACTGCTGGAAGCCAAATCGATTTGGGGAAAAGTGGAGAGTGTTGATGGTCTTGGCAGGCCACAAAGTCGGCATCGAAATGAAGACACATGTTCGTACAATAATATTGAACAACCACCACCATCGCCCACTTTATACAGCTCTCATTTCCTTTTGCAGTTCTATGTGACACTATTTTTTCCTCTTTTTTTTTGCTTTAGAAAACTGACTTTTGCTTAGAGACCAACCAACGAGTCACGTTTTAGGGCCCAAACAAGTCCAACATTCGATTATTTGTTGACTCAAAAGTTTTCCTTCGAGCCAAGGAAATTGGGTCGAGTGTTTGTCGCTCTCATAAGCGAGTTAATTAGGATTACACTCTGGTTCTTGCCTTGACTCATAATTTTGCATTTAATTGCGCATATGTCGGCTAGAAAATTGTAATGATTGCATTAAGAGCCTGCAATTAGAAGAACTTTTCCCAGCCAGGTGTGAATCGGTGTGTGCGAGTGAATGTGAGTGTGTCTCCCTTAATTGGGTTTTCACTGGCTAAAGAAACTAAACTCATGTGGCTGCTACAAGATCCCCACAACTTAAGTGGCTATATGAATAACGTAAAACAATAAATAATTCAAATATTTCAACGCAACCAAACAATCAACAAACACACACACCAACATAGTTTGGGTTTTTGTTTCTTATTTTTTTTTCGGTTTGGGAATAGAGCATGAAAATTAATGAGAAGGTAGGTGGGTGGGGTGTGTTGATGGGTTGGTATTTCTTTAAGGAAGGTGTCTGAGAGGTCAGGGGGTACAACATTTGTCAGCTAAACAGAAACTACAAATGAATAGGCGCCTTCTACTCACTGTAGGGCTGAGGTCGTGTACCGTATAGAGGCTCCTGCAGTAATGGCGAGCGGCCATTTCCAATCTCCTTAACTGAAATGAGATAAGAGCAAATGGCAAACAGTTTGCGCGTGATAAATGTATCCACAAATTTGTTGAATTTCTGTTTGGTTTGGTTTTGGTTGGTTGTTTGGTTGGTTGGTTGCTTGTTGTTGTTGTTGTTCTGGTTGTTTTGTAGTTGTTGTTGATGTTGTTGATTGGTTGGTTGTTTGGCATTTGTTGTGGTGTGTGTATCTGTGGCGTTGCTTCTTCATTTCCTTTTTCTTTTCTGTTTTTTCTGTATATTTTTGGGAATACCACTAAAGGCTAACTAGAAAAAAACCACCAATGTGTATGTGTGTTTGATATCCGGTTAACCTCCAAGAAATGCGAAAGAAAAAAGAAAAAAAAAAGTGGCAAAAAGTTTTCCCATACCGGGAATCGAACCCGGGCCTTCTGGGTGAAAGCCAGATATCCTAGCCACTAGACCATATGGGAGCCACAAGCGAACAGCTCCCAATTCCATAGTTTCTTTTACTTAGCTTTGAGCATCAGAACAGAAAATACCCAGAAGAGTCATCAAATTGTTCATAAATAAAATTCACACTAATATTTTGTGTTTCATACAGCTGCTACCGCGTTATTCATTGCCTTGCATGCCAATGAATCAGTATATTCATATAATATATAGTAGAACGCAAAAAAAAACATTCCAAGTTGGGGCAGGTCAGTCAAACAAGCTATCAACACAAATAAAACAAAGAAATACAATTCAGAAACTCACGCCAGCCAGCCAGCTTATATAATACAATTTAAGTGGATTAATTTATGACAGCCACACAGCATTTTAGCAAAAACGAACTGGACACCGATGAGCCATACGTCACGGGCCAAGATAAAAGGCGACAGCCCCATAAATCAAGCGCTTTCTAAGCAAGATTATCGGGAATTAGGTATTAAGTATAGAGAGTGGAGAACGTCATCTAGCCATCTAGAAAATCCATCACAATGGCCACTCGACCTGCATTATATTGCGAATTTTCGCCAGCTTGTTTGGGTTGTTCACACGCTCCGCCAAAGTTTCGGTTTCAGGGCCAACATCTAGTGCCCCAACCTGACCAAAACAACCAGCAATCGCTCAATGGCGACCCCAATAACTGCATACACCACCTCTAATGGGCCCAACAACGAGTTGTTCAGAACCTGTTTAACTTATTTATTTGTTTTTGTTTCACCCCACTAGTTCGCCAAAATGTTTTGGCCCGAGCAATGCAATTAATTTTTATGTACAGCATTTTGCGTTTGTTTTATTGACTTTTTATGGTTAAATGGACTAATGATTTACATCGATTGCCAGGTTAGAGAAATTCATTTTAACGGCCTTGGGATATCAAATCAAGTGGATTTGAGAGAAGAATGTTCTGGACAAGTTGATTTGTATGCCCAAAAACCATCTATCTAGCACATAATTAATGGTGAGTTTTCTGATCTTAAGTGAAATATATTATCTTATGAATTAGATCTAAGTACAGCAGATATTTATTGTGAGGAGGTTTTCTTAAGTTGTGCTGGGCCTGGACAGTTTACAATTGCTTTGGGGGCTGGATCTGACATTGCACTTAAAAGCTATGAAATGGTTTGTAGTTAGACATAGGGTTAGATTAGAGTGCTTCAACTGACTCACCTCCGGCACAGTCGCTGTGTAGTCGACGCCTCTCATCTCGATGTATACCACCTCTGAGACCGGCCGGGCACAAAACAAAAAGCGGGGTGTTTCGGTGCCCGGCGGTGGGAACTACATACATGAGATACGATAGTACCGATACCGAAAGCGATAGCGATAGCGATACCGACCGACTAATACCACCAGCGTACATACAACTCTCTCTACAGGCCCCAAAATCAGTGGCGATAATAATACGAGTATGGTATAGGCTATGGCTGACATAACTTTGAACAGATCCCAATGGTAAATGTTTACCCAGTCGGTTTTTGTTTTTTATAATTTTTTTTGATAATTATGTTCCGTTAATAACATTGTAAATTAAATAAACTTCAAGTTCGAATTGAAAGCTGTGGTTCATGGTATGATAAATAGAACAAAAAGTATATGTATATATATTATACATGAGATCTCCAAACAAGCAGTTCTATATGATTCGTTTTAGGGACCGCTCTCTCTAGAGTTTCAATCGCGATTCGTCGGATTGTCAACACATCAGGCACAGCAACAACCACAAATTGGCAACATACTCGCTCAAATGTATATCTCCGGGTTTATTCCGATATATAGTTATAGTTTCAGTTTTATGCAATAAAATTCAAAAACTTTTGAAACTTGGGCCGTCAAAATCTTTATGCGGCACTCAAACAACATTTCAAGGATCTGTTCAAATACGACTTTGCTTTATAACGACAACTAATTGCTGGGGTTGTAATGGCAGTTGTACTAGTAGCATTAGCAGTAGTATTAGTGCCGGTAGTATCTTTGATGGAGGTATCTGAACACGGGAGCTTCTGGGCTTCATTTTCGTTGCGGCGCCGTTGCGATGCTCCAATTCCAATTTCCATTTCATGCCATGGTATACGTAGTATCCGTAGTATCCGCCATTCCGTCGAATTTTCCCACTTTTCCGCTCGCTCCTCGGCTGCATCATCAAGTGCAACAACAACAGTGCCTTGCATCTCTCCTGCACACAGACAAACACAAGCGAGATAGAGATAGATAGTAGATAGTGTTGGTTGTGATTTATTTTGATTTTTGATAGTGAGAGAGAGACAGTGAGAATTCTTGCAAAATTTTTAGTTTGTTTCTGCGAGTTTCGTTTTTGTTGTGATGCTTGGTCCTGCCCAAAGAGTTATTTTTAAATACATATATATCTATACTTTATTTTTTGCATTTTCGTGGTTTTTGAATTTCAGTTTTTTATTTTTATTTGATTTGATTTGGTTGTATAGATTGCATAAAATTGAATGATATATTTCAAAGGAATTTGAACTTTTTCTTGAATTTGGTGCATTTTTGCTTAGACTTTAGATATTTTTTTGTTGGTTGCATTCTGTTGTTGTTGTAGCTGTTGTTGTTGTAGTTATATAGTTATAAAGTAGTAGTAGGTTGTTTTTTCTGTAGATGTTCTGGTTGGAATACTTGTTTTTACTTGGGGTAGAATATATATAAATATATATATCTATATCTATATAGAATCGTTTTCTGATCTGGCACTTATTTACGCACACAGAGACGCACACATACACAACAAAAATTGGGTTAGTAAGGTAGCAAAGAGTTTATGGTTATCGATAATCAGATGCTCCCGATTCTCTTTTTTTACTTTTTGTATTGTAATCATTCGATAGATTCTGGTAGTACCCTCTGGTTAGTTGGGGATTAGCTAGTTAGATACGTTTTTTGGATAGCTTTGGCAGGCAAGGCAGGCAGGTGGGTGGCTGGTGGGCGGGATAGTAGTAATAGATGGTAATATATAGTAGTTGTTGGGACCGACGCAGTGGATGCTAGGTATGCTACTCATACGATTCTAAGCGTTATCCGTGTGGTTGTTGTAGTGGTGTTTTGTTATTGTCTATCAAAACCGAAAAACTGTTGTAAAATACAAAAACATAACATTAGAAAAGGATGAACAAAATCATAATGTATTAATTAGTTAGTGGTGAGTTAGTTGATGCTTTTCTCCGCCCAAGTTTTCCATTTCTTCTGTTCGATATTATTTGATTCTTCGGTAGAGAGTGCAAGAGAGAAGCTTTGTTGTTTTTGGTTAATTAATGTTTGCGTTTTGTTGATTTAGTTTTTGCATATCGATGTTTGTTGTCTCATATTGTTTTGTATTCATTTGCATTTTTGATTCAGCTTACTTCGTTTACTTCTTATAAAATATATATTAGATCAAAACTCTTTTTAGACCTTTTCTTTTTTTTTTGTTTGATGTGGCTGTTGTTGTTCTTGTGTTGTGGTGATTTGTTGTCATATAATACACAATGTTTTCTGTGGTTTGTTGTTGTAGTTTTTTTTCTGGGTGGGTTTCGTTGACATATTTTACAAGTGTGATTCATAGTTGATTTTAGTAGTTTTAGCAATTGTCATTTCTTGTTGGGTTAATTGTCTTTGGCTGTTGTTGTTTTTATTTTTTTTGGTTTAGTAAGACGCATTTGATGTGTTGTTGGTTCTGTAGTTGTTGTTGTTGTTGTGTTGCTTGCTTATTGCTGGTGTGGTTGTTGCTGCTGGTATCTTGATAAATGGTTGCGATTGGTGTCGACAGGATAAAATTGATCTGATCTGAACTGAGAAATCAACGTAGCTTGTTTCGTTGTCACTTTTTTTTTCATTCACTGGCACAATACATATATTTTGTGTGATAAAAAACGGAAAAGAAAAGCTAAACATGAGCTCTGAAGAGCCTATTTAATAGATTTTTCAAATTTCCCCTTGGGTTGTCAAAGATATGTTGTTCAGTAGTGGTATTTGGAATGTTACGCTAAGCTAGGCTTAAGCTAGGAGATATTATATAGTTTCTAGACCCTCAACGAGCCGTGTATATTCGTATGCTAGTTATAGAGTAGGTGATATATATTTATGGATGATACCGTGCTGTGATAATGTCTTAGTTTAGTGTGGGACAAGAACTCAAAAGATCAGGCATTGCATTGGAAATATATATTCTTATAATTATAATTAGCCACAACTCGAAACCGAGACTCAATCAGGGTAAATACCCCAAAAAACACCCCAAAGAACATTCATCCCAATCGGCAATGGGACAAATGGCAAATGTGTGGCTTAGCCGAAAAGTTGGTCGTTGCCATTATGTGGGTAGCAATAAAAGCCATTTTAATTGGTTCTAAATGAGTGAGGTCCACGCAATTGCACAGACAAGACATAATGCCGCACATAAATGTGGGCGACTTGTGGGTGGTGATGGAAGGGGTTCCCCTGCAAATAAAGGACCATATCAGATCGGTGCCACAGAGGCCAAATTATTCACAGTGATTACATGAAGTCTTCGCTCCGTTTGGCATAAAATAAACCATGCTGGAAAAGTAAATCGTTATAATTACGATGCATTAGATGGCCAAAGCGAATGACAAGCAGCTACCAAAACAACCAAACAACACCCCACTGAAACACACATCCGTATCTATAAACTGTATATACCATGTAACAAGCACATTTGCAGGCAGCATATGGAGGGCACTAAAAACAAATTGGGGGTCCAAAATAGCACGGGTCTGTAGATAAAACCGAAATAATCAGCAGGCAGTCAGGCCGAAGGACTCGCACACACACACACTCTAACTTGCAGAAATTGTAGTGTCATAAAAATAAATAACCCAAAGACAAGACAACCGGGTGTATAGTGATGTTGATTTAGGATAAAGTAAGCAACAAAACCATGAGAGAGCTCTTCGATAGCAATTTAAATAAATAGGAATGAGCCTCCGAATATCTAGCCATAATTGAAATCACTGGGAAACCGAGTTGCCAACGTGATTTGCATGCGAGTGTTAGTGCGAGTGTTTATGAATAATTTATGCGCATTTAATTCGATTGTTGTGGCAGAATCACAAGAATCACGAGAGGAAGGAAGTTGTGGCGGTGGAAGGAAGGTGGTGTCACCTGCCTGGCTAGGGACTTCCAACGACATAATTTAATCATAAACATAAAATAGTTTTGTCATGTTTTATTATTCAACTGCCAGAAGGGAGTCAGAGAGAAAGAGGTCCTTTTTTAATGGCCTCCAGTGCGGACTCCTCATCAACCGCTGGTGTGTCCCTTGTTGTGGCTTTCTTTTTATGACATTTGGCCTTTCCCTTCCGCTTTCCCTTGTCTGGTTACTGGGTTTTATTTGTGTCCCGCCTTTTATTGAAATTTTTTTTGTAGCTACTATAGCTACTATTGCTACCAAGGTAGCCGAGAGTTCCCTGACTTATCCCTGTTCCACTTTCTATGATTGTTATTTCGCTGCTGTTTCCGTGCATTCGGAAATAAAATAAATAATGACTGCCATTACGGTGCACGTTTTGTGGTGAAAAAGCAGGCAGGCAGCAGGGGTAAAAACTTTTTCATGGGCTGCCTACTGACATTTCTGTGGTTAATTATGGCCAGGTTCTTTGCGGTTATCTGTATACGCAATCAAGACCCGAATTCCCGGATTCTATTAACGGTTGGGGGCGACCATTATTTTGTGGACCACTAACGCGCCCCATAAAAACTGCACTTTTCTGCACCATTTTCAAAAGTGTCTCTAATCAATTCCAGCAGGCGCAGCTTTTACCTCAGCCACAAAACCAAATTAACTCGGAGACAAACTATCCGGAAAAACGCAACTGTCACTTGACATCAGACTGAGGAAAAATCGCTTGAAAATGCACATAGGTTTGTCAAGTTGCAGTCGTGGTGAGGCGTAAAAAAAAATTGGAAAAATCGAACGTCCTTGGGCTAAAAGTGCGCTAAAACCAGCTAGAAAGCAAAAACAATTTGTGGTTAAAATAAGAAACCAGAAAGAGAACATCGCGTGACAACACGAAGGCAAATTCAGACTATAGACTATGCTAAGGATGAGCACGAGGACTTGGGATAGGGATAGGAAAAGGTATCCGTAAGGATAACCTCGTCGGATGACAAGAAAATGAGTAGAAAATTAACAAAGCGCGCAGTGATAAAGTGCAGGGGGTTGGAAAATTTACCCAGAAAAATATATGCACAACCGTGGCGGTTGTCAAATGCAAATGCAAATACAAATTTTTGGTGTGTACTTGATGAAGTTTTGAGCTGCAGCAGGAGC